GTCTTTCCACTAGTCGTGCTTTGTCCCACCGAAATTGAACCTGGTTCCTTTGTTCTTGTTGCTGCATGCAGGGTTTCAGGTCGCTTTTTCGGAAAAAATGGGAGTTTCCGAAAATAACGGGTACCTTATTTGGGGGTCCTTATGATAATGATCCTACTATTTAGGGTACTATATTGGGTCCCCTATTTTCGGCAACCCTCATATACGTGCTTCGTTGTTTTTGCTATCGGCTTTGGTCGAGGGAAGGTTCTGGACACCAACAGTCGTTAGAGCAGGAACTATGACGCGCCGCGAGTTCTACTGATGTCTACACAACAAAGCTCTGAGTGGGGTTCAGCACGAGTTCCCAGTGAGTATGTAGTACTGATTGGAACTGCCATAATCATCGGTCTGGAATGGTGGACTCTAACCATCAGCCTCTTTTGTACTTACGCACGTTGTTCCTCTGTCTGCTGCAGTCTGAATTTGTTTTCCGAGAGTGCTGTCTGACTTCCTTGCTTGCCAGAACATGGTGCCAGGACGGGAAGTCTGTGGCATCGGCACTTTCACTCGGCCACTAAGTCCACATGCCAGGCGAAAGTCGCGTGATCTTGACCGACGGCCCTGAGGTGCATAAATTGCTTTAGAGACGGCGCTCATTGATTCATGCGAATGCTCAGGACCCTGAAAGATCGCTTCGGAGAAACGGGGACTAGCACAATGCCCCCAAAACCACAAGAGGGACACAAGATCATACTCCTCAGAGGTAGCAGGTAGCGTCCGTTCAGGAAAGCTGTCTTGTAGGAATCGGTATCGACGAGTTCACGGACATGACTTCATCAGGAAAGCTTTCCACCGGAAGTCACGAGTTGCGATGTTGCCTGCCATGCCGCAGTGTAGTGTTCGGCATTTGAGCCTTTGTGCTTTGTCGCTGGAAGGCCACAATAAAGCCGCAGCTGCAAAAGACACATTTGGATACTGCTTGGTACTGGGCGTTTGGTGCTCACCGGCGGTTTAAAAGAGACCTCGACCTGCTAAATGCCCCTGCCAGTCTAAGCAGAGCATAGTCGTTTCCTCCACTGTAGTCAAGCGGTAGAGAGTTCCTCAACTCCCCCGACGCACCGTTAAACAGGTAGCTGGTGGGTTTTGGCTCGAGTCGAGCCTGGAAATCTACCAGCATAGAAGAGACAGCCCGTCGCCCTACGGGAATGGGTTTAAAGGGAAGTCTAGGGTTTGGGGATCAACAGCCATACTTGGAGTCAACAAACATAATGTACTACACTCTACTATATTATATAGTACAATCTACTATAAAAGATACTAGAACATACCATATAATTTACTATACCCGACTGCGATATCAGCCGCTGTGCCTCGACGTGCTGGCCCTGAAGTCCACACAGCGTCACTGCCGCAGCGAGCAGTGTCGATTGTGAAAGGGTCTATACCCATAGGCCCCATAGTAGTTCCTTTTTGGGGATCATAAATAGAATCCTATAAGGTAATCCCAAAAAGGAACTACTATGGGGGGCCTATGGGTAGAGTCTAGCGGCTAGCCTTCGGGGCCACTAAACCCTACACCCTAAACTCTATAGCCTAAACAGTTCGAGTTGATAGTTCCGTCGATCGGTTTGCATCGCAGATTGCGGCTTCGTCCTAAACTTACAAAATTGGAGCTCCCATCGAATGGTAGTTTGGCTCGTCCCATGCTGGATTAAACCAACCTGTCCACTTAACAATGGAGCCGGGGTGGAAATCTGAGCATTGTGCGTTCCCAACGTCCTTCCTTTGGAGCTAAGCGGCCGAAAGATGCTAAGTGCAATGTGGTCACAGCTGCTGCTCCTGGTGCTCCTTTACGACGACATGAGTTCATTCATGCTTTCGTAAGCGTAGTAGTTAACCTTTGTAACACAGTGATGCCACCTATCTAAACATGCACCTTCCTAGGACAGACTTCGTTGTTTGATGTTGTTTGTGCCCGCCCCGCTCTCTCCTCCAGCTTTCATTCAGGTGTGTGATGGGCTGGCACCGGCTATGGTCCAATCGGCCGGGACCTTGGGGCTGCAACTCTTCGATCACCAAACCCTAAACCCAAAAGGCCCTAAACATTAAATTCTGTGGTTCTGAGGCGTGGAGGGGTCGCTGGGGAGTGGTGGAAGCATGGAGGAACTAAGATCTCAGAGCCCTGGTCTCAGGTTGCGAAGCAAGTGTCATTAGCCTGTAGCCTTGGGGAAATGTTTCAGCCGACGTCAACGAGAGCTTGTGCTTCGAAGGGTATGACCCTGTGGCTTCGGGTGCCAGAGGCTCGAAACCCCGTGGAACCGGAAAGGGGTTTAGCTATGGCCCAGATATGTGCAATCCAGGTGGTTGAGTCCCTATTATCTACTATTCAATTCTGCAGATTATTTTCTGCAGATAAGAGGGACCTTGTCAAACTGGCCCATATACAGAGGGTGCATTCCGGGGCATGCTTTGCAGACCAGGCTCCACACAATTTTTCATGTGCCCGAAGTATTTCGATGCTATATTGAGGTCGGTGCCGAGCTTTGTTCGAGGCCTGCCTTCCTATCTGCGAGCTGTTGTTGGGGCTCAGCCATTCTGGCAAAGCTCATCATGCCTGCAGGGTCGAGTCAAGGGTCTGGCAGTCGGATTCTGAGTTGAGTTCAGGGTCGCAGGTCTGCTGCAAGAACAGCCACCAGCATCACTAAAACAACAGCGAGACAGCATATGTCACAACCGACGATGACCGTAGTTTGAATCAAGACATGTGCAGTCAGTAATGCACTTGGAGGATTGGCCACCTCCACCAACAGAATCGCGTCGCCGGAGTCAAAGCTGAAGTTCCACGTGGAGAAGGCTTTTCATGTTGCGAATTTGTCGCTTGTTGCAGATCACAACGACAACGGCAATAACGACAACCACCCTGTAAACCCTAAACCGAATTACGCAGATCCTGACATCCTGAGCCGCTTCTTCGAGTCAGTGGGCCCTGCATTCTCATTCGGCAGATACACGAGAGGGTCAGCAGAGGCAAGCTGAAAAAAGTCAAGATTCCATCCCCCTGTCATGCTGGGTATAGCCAGCTGACCTGAATCTTGAAAATTGAACCTTAAACCCTAAACCCTAAACGCCTAAACCCAAACCCCTAAACCCCTAAACCCTGAACCCCTAAACCCTAAACGCTAAACCCTAAAACCCCCCAAAACCTAAACCCTAAACCCTAAACCCCGTATTAGGATCCCTGCATGAAGCTTCCGCTCTCAGGGCTCTGCCGCTTTGGGGCAAAGCCAAGGCCGGCGAGCCACCCATGTTCAGTGCTAATGTAGGGGCCTTCATAATATAGGGTTTAGGGTTTAGCATTTAGGGATATATATATATATATATAATATGTATAGTCTGCTATACCCAAAAATCCCCAATTCTAGTTATTAAGGGCCCTAGGTTAGGCTGCATGTTGCATGCATGCGAAAGTACGCGCTCGTGCGCGGACACGACGCACGCGCCCGCACTGCCTATCTGTCTGGCTGTCTATCGATCTATCTCTTTGTTTATTATATCTATCTACCTGTATATTTACCTTTCATTCTCTCTACCTACCTATCGATCGCTCGATCTATCTATCTATCTATCTATCTATCTATCTATCTATCTACCTGCTTGTGTCTATGTATCTTTGCATTTCTTGATCTCCATTGTTTATCAGTCTTTCTATCTGCCTATTTGTCTTTGGCCATCTATCTGCCCATCTATCTATCTATCTGTCTGACTGTCTATCTGTCGATACGACTAACATATCTATCGATCGAACTATCTATCGTTCTACTCGGCGAGATGTCCATCGGTCTAATGACCGATCTTTCGATTTACCTGTCCATCTAACTATCTGTTTACCTACCTATCTGTCTATCAGTCTATCGTTCTATCCATCTATCTATCGATCTGTCGATCCAACAATTTATCTGTTTGTCTCTGTCTGTCTGTCTGTCTGTCTGTCTGTCTGTCTGTCTGTCTGTCTGTCTGTCTGTCTGTCCGTCTCGTCTACCTATCCAAGTGTCGATAAGTGTCTAGATACATATGTAAGGCTGGCCCTCCATCTATCTATCTATCTATCTATCTGTCTATCTTCCTCTCTATATCTGTCTATCTGTTTGTCTATTTGTCGTTCCTACCATCATGTGCACGCAGGATTTACCATGCTAGAGCCTGATAGAGAAGCATGCATAGGCCGCATCAGGCCGTGTTGGCAAAAACTGCTGACAGGTACCGCATGTTGTTATCTCCAAGCTTGAAATCCCCAAGCCCAGATCGAACTTAGGCCCTAAACCCTGAACCCTAAACCCTACAACCCTCAAACGCATCAGTGTCAACCAGGGCCTCTGGCGCTGTACGAGTCCTTGGTCGCCTCAGGGAAGCTGAGGGAAGACGAAGAGCAGAGGCGCCTAAGAGGGGAGGAACGGGTTCAACATTTAGGTTTTGGGTTTAGGACTTGGGGATTTTGAGTTCGGGTTTACGGTCAGATGAAGGGTTGCGACGATGGGAACAAGTTTTTTCGAACCCGCAAGACTAAGCGGGCTGTGATGAGCGGCTACATGTCGCGGGGACAGACATGGAGCCTCGACTGTATGCACACATTTCTGCTTAGCACTGGGCTTGAACAAAGACACGGATGCCTCTTTCTCTTCAGCCGTCAGGGCGTCCGATCTGAACGATGCATGATCTTTGCCCAAACGCGATCGATCCTGTCCTCTTTCCCCCCGCTGCAGGAGGGTTCTGCAGATCTTGAACGCGATTTTCTTCGGTGCGGCCAAGCGGACAGCTCGTGGGCTCTACTTGCACCCCGGGCCCAAAAATTGCTTTTGGGTCTACACAATGTGGTGCACTACGGGTCTAAGAATTTTGACATGCTTCCGAAATGTCGAACAGGTTACACAGGTACTGTCTCCTCTTTCAAGAAGTCTCATGCCGCGCAACCCTACCCCACACCTGGCGAAAGGTACGGCAGTGTGGGCTGTGGCAAGACCATGTCGATGGACATTTTCCACTCCTCCCTGCAAGATAACGCTGCCCTGCGCGTGCAGAGGCTTGAATGCTGGAAGCTTCAACATGCTTGAGTTAAGGCTCCCGACATTTGCTCTTAACTTGGGAGCTGCCAACTAGGCTGCAATTGGCCCCATGTGAATCGTTCGGGTGCTCCGACACCGCTCAGCTTGACAGTGCTATTCATTATATGCCATGACCGGGCTTTTCAGACTGTCCCTCGATGGTTGATGCCATGCAACAGAGGAAAGTCAGACTGTTGCAGCTTAAGCTGCAGCTTCTGAAATCGCACAGCTCGGCAAAGCTTCTTCTGAACCAACCGCTCCAAACAGAAATCCGTGGGTGGGAGCTGGAAGGAAGCATTTCCATGAGTTCCTCTACGACGTGCAACGCCTCCTGCATCAGATCAAGAAAGAGGACTACAGACTGCACACATCAAGAGATTGTCACATGCAGCCTTGTTCTTTGGCTGTCTGCTATTGAAGCTGTTCATATACGATTCTTCCACAAGGAGTTCGGCTCTTGAATTTGTGTGTAACCTTCGGGTCGAAAAAGGCTCAGCTCACCCTACACCCTAAATCCCCCAAGCAAGGCCCCAAGGCATTGGGGCACCGTGCCCTCGATAAATACTGATGAAGTGCAAGGCTTCAATGGCAGTTTTGCGCTTCTCAAAGCAAGAATGACAAAATCAAGGGCAACAACATGGTGAGAATGTCCGTGATAATATAGTGCGAGAACTGATCACCACACAGGCATCTTCATCGTCACATCATGAGTTGTTGTCCGTACAGGCCGAGTCTTTGAATGCTTCCAGGGTTTGAAAGGATGTTTTCAGCAGGACGAGCAGGGAGTCCAAACTGGACTCGGTGTCCAGCGTGCCGGCGAGCGCATCGCCGCGAGTGTGGACGTGCATCTTGTCCGAGAGTTATGCTTTAGATTGTCTTGAAAGTATTGCCCTAACCCTCCAGGAGCCTCCAGGTACCTACTATATAGGGCCCTAGGGGCTCTAGTACCCTCTATAGTAAGTAACTGGAGGGTTAGGGTTGGGGCTTTAGGATGAGGCTTCAGGTTTGCGAATGGCAACTGGTTGCAAGTTGGCATTTGACGGTTTGTGTTTGAGCTGGTGCCGAAGACGATCGAGGCCAGGCACCTGGTGTCAGTTTGTGTGTGTGTGTGTTACATATATACATGTATGTACATGTGTATGTATGTATGTATATATATATATATATATATATACTGCAGAGGGTGAATGACTATAGTAATAAGGGGATAACTCTGAGCCAAAAAGGGCAAGAGCAGGAGAAAGTGGTGTTATCCCTGTTAGCATGTCGCAAATAACGACGGTGACGTCCATGGACTTCCGAGGCTTTGCTTTGACGAGTTTGTAGGGAGCTCAGTCGGTTGCGCACTCTGTGATTCCATCCGCCAGATGGCCCAGCCAAAGCCACAGCCAGGGCATCGGTCACGTATATACCCATAGGCCCTAAAGTAGTTCCTTTTTGGGGTTCATGTCTAGAATCCTATAAGGTAACCTCAAAAAGGAACTACTATGGGGCCTACGGGTAGGGCAGAGGTTTAAAGAGTGGGGTTTGGTGATTTGCGCCATGTTCTGTTCATAGTTCGGGTGCGGTTCAACCGTCCAGCCAGCCGCTGGGAAGATATGGGAGCTTCCGAAAATAAGGGGTACCTTATTTTGGGGTCCTTAAAATAAGGATGCTACTATTTAGGGTACTATATTGATGTCCCCTATTTTCGGAAACCCCCATATGCCACACTTCAGGCCGTCACCACGATCCAGGACCAGGGTCTTGCACAACGCCTGGCATTTATCAAGACTTGCACGACGAACTGAGCTCAGGTTCCTGTGCCCATCAGTGCACCATCTAATGTAGGGGCCTAAATTACCTATATTACTCTGAGGGGTTCCTTATTAATTATAGTATAATGGACCCCAAAACCCTATTCTAATTATTAAGGCCTCTACATTACCAGGCAACGAACGGTACAACTGCCGCAGGATTGCTGCATTCTGCTGCCTCTCTTCAACGCGCTGTTCAGGCGAAGCTTTGCTGTGAGATCTTTGGGTTTGCAGATCAGGATGGGTTTTAGGGTTTAGGGTTTAGGGTTTAGGCTTAGATCCTTTAGTGAATCCCGAGAAAGCCGCGATCAATTTGTTTGACAGAGACGTTGGTACCATAGTCCAAACTAAAATGTGAACAGACCTGCCAACGATATTCGGTCATGAGATGTGTTGATTGTTGTTCCAACTGTTTACCTATGTTTTGTTGCCTCTGATCCTTCGGCAACTGGCTCTGCTTGAGCAGCGCAGCAAATCCCTAGAAACGCCCCAAACCCTGGGCAGTCTAACCTAAACCCCGAGCTTTCCAGTAATCCCGATCCCTAAAGACCATTCCCTCAGGGTCCATGTGCGCAAGTGGTGCATAATGCTTTGGCCCCCCAAGTACCGATATAGGGACATCTTTAAGGCCAACCTGTGACTCCAAACCCTACCAAATAGTAGGTTGTGACCCCTTAATTATAAGAGGGTAGAACCCATCAAACGGCAGGGTGTTGGATCCCCAGGAAAGTATCATACCCCAAAATATATAACACGGTTTAGGGTTTAGGGTTTACAGTTATAATATACCCCTTGGGTACATGGACCCGCTTTTGGATTGATAAACCCCGAGCTCCGGTTCCCCGCGGCCGGGCCGCGAGGCGGGGGGTGACGGTCATCGCAACATCCAATCGAGCACCGGAGGCCTTCATCCTGGTCAGGTTCAGGGTGGGGTTTGCTTTAGGGTAGCTTAGGGTAGTATAGTTTAGGGTTTAGGGTTTAGGGTAGCTTAGTTTAGGGTTTAGGGTTTAGGGTAGTTTAGTTTAGGGCAGAGGGCTTCGCAATAGGGGTGTGGAAAATCGTGTGCTGAGTAGGATTTGTGGTTCAGAGGGCTTCCAAATCTTGCGCCTGGGACTGAGTGAGATGATTTCTGATGACCCCTGTTCCACACAAGCTGCTTCTGGCGAATGGTGCAAAGTAGTGCATTGAAGGAACCCCAGACTAAACCCTTAATTGATACAAAACTCCGCATAGTCGTTCGTGATTTTTGTGGATGTGCGGATGGCCCCATCAGGATCTCTACAGTGACGGCCTAAATCGGCACCTTGGCTTGCTTTCCTGTGCAACAGTTAAGCCTCTGCCTTCGGCACTGCTCTTCTTCGTCGAGAAGTTGTTTGTCGTTCGAGGCTAGGCTCAGGGAAGTGGAGAAAGCAAGCGGTTTAGGGTTTAGGGTTTAGGGTTCATCCGACTCGTTTCCGCAAGCCGGCAGAGGCCGTTTACAAGCTTCAGCCGGTTTTGAAGGCTTGGCTTCACTCGCAAGGCTTGCTTGGAGGTTGGTTGCTCAATTGAGAGCTCTTGGAGTCTGCATAGGCCCTGCTGAGGCAAGTCTACCTGCCACCTTTCCTGGACTTGCTTCGAGAGCACTGTAAAGTGCATCACATGCAGATACTGGCCTGCAAGGAGCAAGCAGTAAAAGGTCCACATGCAGCCACGCAAAACTTGTACAACATGTCGTGCATAGTTACATTGTCTAGTCTAGTGTGCACAGGAATTGTATTTGTATGTACCGACCTCATCTTTGTATGTACGTTTATCTGTATGTTTATGTCAGTCTTTGCGCGCACATACCTCTAGAAATAGATGTGCATAGAAAGAAAGGCAGCCGAATTGGAAGCGCAACTTAGGAGTGGCACAGACTACCGTGCTGTGCAGTACGAGAGCAGCCCGGATGCAGGCAAGGCTGATCCGAGGTCTTTTTTAAGAATCCCTAAGGGCCCATGTACCCAAATAGTATATACTTTGGCCTTAATGTAGTCCCTATATGGGTACTTTAGGGCCACTGTTCTACGATTTGGGTACATGGACCCTTCGGGAATTTAAAACCCTACTAGTCTAAGGGCAATATAGAAGCCCGAATAGTTCAAAGCCCTAATTGCTAGTATATAGACCCCTACATTGCAGAGCCGACTCAAGCCAGAACAGATCCCAGTGGAGCAGCCAGGGGTCTTCTGCTGGCCGCAACAAGCAGCCTTTGTTGATCAATGGCCCTTCTGCTGCAAGACGCCTTGCCTATCTTAGGGTTGAGAACTTCAAACATGTTTCTAGGCTTTTTGCAGAAGTCTTCGACAATACCTAGACTGCCTTGTTGTTGCCTTTCACTCGGCACATGTATCGTTGAAAGCCTGAGCCATTGCAATTCCCAGAGCACCGAGATCTGCAAGTCCGCGGCACCCCAATGCCTGAAGCCTTGAACCCTGATGCCCCAAAGAATCTGGGAGTTTCCGAAAATAAGGGGTACCGTATTTAGGGGTCCTTATAATAAGGATCCTACTATTTAGGGTATTATCTTAGGGTCCCCTATTTTCGGAAACCCCCATCTATGCAGCTCGTCTTCCAGCCCTGCACCCAGCTCCGTAACCCAGGTTCCAGCGGCTCACGGGCACGACGGGCCGCCAGGGGCAAGTGCAGGTGAGAAGACCTCCAAAGCACCGATGCTCGTAGTCTTCTCACGTAGAGATATGCAGCTAAGCATTTCTTTGAAAGCTGCACATATTGCAACCGTTTAGTTTGGGCCTGTGCGTTTGGAGACCCTAAGCTCCCAACTCGCCATCCCCACAGAAAACTTCCACTAGTCACTAGTCCATCTGGGTGGTTGTCAAAATTATGGTCCCTTTTTGGGTCCTTATTATAATACGGCACCTAGTATTTAGGGTACCCCAAAAGGGACCATAATTTTGACAACTACCCGTCTGAATACCCTCGACCTTTTCCTCAGGTCGCCTATGGCCGCATGCTGCCTGTCCCATCTATCTCGCCTTGCGGAGGCTCACTATCCCAGACCCCCAAATGGATCTAAGAAAGAGATCCCCTAAGGGGGTTCCTATAAAGTACCCTTTAGTAGGTAGGGTCCCTAATTAGGGGATCTATGTTTTAGATCCTTTTGGGGGTCTGGGTATAGGGGCCCCAAACCTTCCCACATGGGGGTTTCCCAATATAGGGGATCCTGATATAGGACCCTAAATAGTTTCAGTAGGGTCCTTGTTATAAGGACCCTGAAATAAGGTACCCCTTGTTTTCGGAAACTCCCACAGTGCTTGGGACAAGAGCTTCCCAGAGCTTTTGGCGCTCAGGTTTTTAGGCCCGTGCCGTCTCGACAGCCAGACCACCCGAGATTGTTGAGATTATCGTCATGAGCTCCCCCTAACCCCCCAGGTACCTACTATATAGGGTACTAGAGCCCCTAAGGCCCTATATAGTAGGTACCTGGGGGGTTAGGGTCCGCCATCAATTTTGTGTTTTCACCAAACTCGCAACCCGCGCCGTGAAAAGTTCATAGCTGGGCGGCCTCGGATGTGACCTTCGGAATTGAAACCTTCAGTATCCAAAGAATATACCTTGTAAGGGTTTAGGGTTTAGGGGTTCAGGGTTTAGAATATCTACTCCATCGGAGAACTTGGCTGGCAGAGGCATATGCAGGGATTGAGTTGCTGCCCTCAAGGGCATTGCAGTGCTAAGTGAAGTTTCTGTCTACTCTGTACCAAAAATCGAACGCACAGCGACCATAAACCCCCTAAAGCAGAGCCTATGAAGCCGCGGCAGGCTTGGCACGGTTTTCCTTCGAGGACACCAGCAGAGCTGACTTGCATAAGAGGCGTTGTACGTGAGACTCCAGGTTTCGAGACCTCTCTTGTGTCCCCATGGGCATACTTCTTCAGTGGAGTGTTGCTGCGGTAGCATCCGAACAGCCTGGAGGATCTTTGTGTAAGCCACCTGGCTGCGGACGACTACAATGCGATTTGTGGTGCCTTGCCTACTTGTAAAGTTCCGTTTCTCACATGCTGCCATTTCCAGGCATGGTGAGAGTTCAGCTTCTTGAGGTATGTCATACCTCCACTCTGCGATATCAGGTGTTGTGCTAGCTTTCCTGGCAATGATAGCGTGAGAGACACTGACCCCTAGCCGAGGGAGGTTCCACACCATTTTGCTGGATGCCGTTCCGCGGCTTACAGTAGACCAACACAACGAGGCCGAGTTTGCTTTTGCCGTCAGATGCATAGAGTGTGGAGAATCAAGGTTGTTAGCACATCAGGGAACATGGCAGTGGTCTGAATGGAGCGATGCATGGCAGATACATGGAGTAGACTGTGGCCGGCAGTGGTGCAGAAGTGCACCATGCAAATGATCACAGCAGGCCCAAAAATCCCTGAAACAGGCGCCTAAACCCTAAACCCTAAACCCTAAACCCAAAGCAGGCAAGGCGCTTCACTTTGCTGGTGGACTGCTGCTACGAGCATCACATCAGGCTGATCGCAAGCTTCTGGGACTGTGAGCTGGCTCACAGGGCTGACTCTGTTATTGGATATAATATATATATATATATAGAGGATTAAATAAATAAATGTATATGTATATAGGGGCATTAATCATTACCAATACTATTTGGGGGGTTCCTGATTATGATTATATGATAAAGGGGCCTTTAAAACCCTATCATTAGTAAGGACGCTATACTATTGTCGTCGCAAAGCTGTGACGGCGCGGTCGAAGCCCAGCGTATTCGCCGAGGCCTGGAAGCTCCTCCTGCGGAGATCCTAGGCCGGCAGAGTGCACAGCTGCGCTTTAGGGTTTACCGGTAGTCTCCATTGTAGTTCCTCTTTTTGGTTTAACCAATTATAGATTAAGGGTTGTAAAAGGTAACCCAAAAAAGGAACTACAATGGTGACTATAGGTAGGGTTCATATAGGGGCCTTAATAGTTAGAATAGGGTTTGGGGTACATTAGACTATGATTATTATAAGGAACCCCCAAAACCCTATTCGAATTATTACGGCCCCTACATGAATCTCGACGACCACGGATACGAGGGACTCTGAGGGACCTTGACCACACAACGGTGGGCCATTGGTCTTGGAAAACCCTGGAATGGATTCGATTCCGAAAGTCTCAAGCCTGTGTGCTCCGCAAAAATGCAACTAGAAACCCCCCCGGTACCTACTATAATAGGGCCTTAGGGGCTCTAGTACCCTATATAGTAGGTTACTTACTAGCTTGCACGCTAGAAACACGTCCTGAAGGTCAGTTGGGCAGCTGAGAAGCCATGCCTTTCAGCCGAAGACGCCTGGAACCAGAAACCGTTGAGGCCCAAATTCTCCATACCCCTATATGTATCGTATTCGTTCCAGAACCAGTGCTACTATAGTATAAGAGTAGTAGCATTAGTTCGAAAACTCTTTGGGAGGTGGACTCATGGAGCTCCAGAACATCAGCATGAATTCCCTGGGCAAGGTTCACTCCATGGTCGATTTAGGGATGATTTGCGGGTTTGGGGTTTTCGTCCAGCATGTCCACGAAAGTTCGCCAGTAGAAGCATCTGCTGTTCGGTAACCATCGGTTCGGACATCTGGAGATCTTTTCCTTAGGAGGCCGAAGCCTCAAGGCCGAGCCAAGCCCTTGAGAGCCAGCTTGGCGATACCTACTAACCTACTGCCTGTCCCTTTCGCTCTCACTGACACAAACAACCTGCTGCTTCTTTTCTGTTGTCATTTCTGTCGTTCCTCATTTCTTCAGTTGTTTATGTTATTGCTTATGCACTTCTTTCGTTCTTTCTTTATTCCCACAACAGAGAGGTAGCATTGTGGGGATCTTAAGTTGGGAGTAAGGAGAATTGGTTAGGATATCCTTGCAAAGATGGTCCCTGCGTCGCCTTATCCCGGCGCACGGCTCTCGGTGTGGTGCAATGCATAATTTCTCTTCGCGTCCTGCCATTTACAGGAAGATCCGGCATGCTACTTGCACCATCTCCAGTACTTGGGGAAAGCGAGTGGTTCTCCTGGTGGGTTTCCTCGTTGTCTACCGGTGGTCTCCTTGTGGTCGTCCTGGTCATGGCGGTCGCCATGGTGGTCGTGGTCCTACTAATCGTGGCAAAACTGGTCGTCATGGTCGGTCGTGGCGGTGCTTTCACTGTTTGAAATCTACCTGGCATGGGTTATGTTTTAATTTCTTAAGTCATCTCGCTATGTGTCTCTTTCGTTGTTTCAAGGTGCTATTTGTTCTTGTGGTTTGTACTTGTCTCGCTCTCTCTCTCTCTCTCTCCTACAATCTCAATCTCAATCTCAATCTCACTCTGTCTCTCTCTCTCTCTCTGTCTGTTGCTGTCGGTCTCTCTTCGTGCATGCATTCCTGCAAGCATGTGCATATGCACGCATGTGTATATATATATATATGTATACATGTGTATATATATATATATATATGTGTGTGTGTGTGTATGTATGTATGTATGTCTGCATGTACGCCTGCCTGCATGCATGCATGCATG